GGTGTTGAATTAAGGCCGTTAAATTTTTTCGCATCTTTAATTTCATCGATATGGAGAACCATTTTGTCTACTGGATCGAGCTTTTCTATTTTCATCTTGATCAAGCTAAGTAATATTATATCAGAAAATACGCAAAGCGAGAAATATATAGATCATGATTTTTATTCTGATAAATTATTGCTTTGCAATGACCTTTCAGGTCTATCTGTATCAGACTCACTATTCACAACTAAATGCCAACCAACAATATCAAGAGTAGGGTTTTTATTTTGCAAGGCCATAATTGCATTTGTACTAACTTCATAGCAACTCTCAATATCAAGCTTCTGGAGATTATACAAATTTGCTAATGCAGACATAGATACATCGGTAATGTTGCATCCCTCAAGATAGAGCTGTTCAAGTTTTGGGCACGATCGCGCTATTGCACAAATGGATTCATCAGATGCAAGGCACCAACTAAAGTTAAGATATTTAAGATTTGGGTTGGATTGCGCAATTTTTTTAACTGTTATATCAGTAATCTCTTCACACCCTTCCAATATATATTTTTGCATATTCGGACATGCTTCAGCAATTACGCATATACCTTCATCAGTTATTTTTTGGCATTCGATTAAACTTAGACTGTAAAGTTTTGAACATGATTTAGCAATCTGTTTTAATGATACATCAGTAATATTACTCCCCCATAAACCAAGGTGTTCTAAATATGAGCAGTTTTGTGCAATTAGAACTATAGATGTATCGGTAATATGTTTATTATAATCCAATTTTAAGCAACGCAAATTAATACATGATTGAGCAACTGTTCTCAATGATATATCAGTTATCTTAAAAGATCCAAGTTTTAGGTGTTGTAGATTCGGACATGAATTCGTGATTTTACATAAAGTTGTATCTCTCATATTATAAAATTCGCTAGTTTGTTTTATACCTTTACTATTGCACGAAATACTGAGGAATTCCAAAGGACAAATTTGCGCAATCTTACTAATGACTCTATCAGATAAACCACAACACCATTTGATCTTTAGATGGCGTAAATTGGGACAGGATCTAGCAATTCCATATAGCTCATCATTAGAGACTTTGCATCTAGAGAGATGAAGTTGAAGTAAATATGAAGCATGAGGTTTTCGATTTCTACGCATTATCTTTTTGAATTTACTCCACTGCATACATGGATTTTTCTGCAGGCAGGGCTTCCTTCGGGGGCCTAAGTCACCAATAAATTCAGCCTTTCTCCATAATATTGGGGCGGAACATAAATACCATAACCGGTTAACAAATAAAGCTGGGTATAATGTTTTATCTTCGGCAAGATATGAGAAAATTTCGGTCAATAATTCGGGCAAGATAAGTGGATCTAGTTTATAATATGGCATCGATATATATCTTTGCAAAAATATTCTTTATCGTATAAATAACCTTTTTAAATATGAGCATTATTAACAAATTTATATACATCTAGGACGGTGTCCAAGACTATATATAGAAGCTAAAATCTTAGGCTTTTGTTTTTCTAAGGTGTTTATTGCATCTTCAGTGACACGCCAGCAATCATCGATATAGAGATCTCGAATATTATGGCACAAATTTGCTATCGCATAAATAGAAGTATCTGAAATTGCACAGTATTCAATATTAAGTCCCTCCAAATTTTGGCACGAGTGTGCTAATAAAGTAATAGACTCGTCAGTTATATGACGCAATGATATATCGAGAAATCGAAGGTTAGAACATGATTTCGCAATGGTTTTTACCGATATATCAAAATTAATCTCTCTACTATAATAATCATAACCTGAAAAAGAAAAGCAACACATATGAGGGTGCGAAATAGCTATGGCACAAATTCCATCGTTGGTGATATTACAAGATGCACCCAAGTGTAAATGACAGAGTTTTGGGCAAGTATATGCAATTTCTTTCAATGATGCGTCAGTAATATTTGGACCTTCTATATAAAGATATTCCAGCTTACGACATGATCTAGCAATTTCAATAACTGAGATATCGGAAATCTTATTACTATGTTGTAGGTAAAGATAAGTTAGATTTGGACATGTGAGAGCAATTTTACAAACAGTCTCATCCCTGATATCGAGAAGAAAATGAGGATTTTTTGCATTATTGTCGAGTTTAAGATATGTTAATTTTGGATGCACAATTCCTCCAATAGTTTTGCTAGAAAATCCACAGCAATTACTTATAATTAAGCGATGCAAATTTGGGCATAACTTTCCAATCTGATTTAGGGTATCGTTGGTAACTTCACACTTCTGGATGTAAAGACAACCTAATCTCGATATATGAGGAGTTTGCATATTTATTGATTTTGTAAATCGTTCCCATAACCCGCGACGCTTTTTATTTTTGCCATTGAAACAGGCTTCTTTCCATAATATTGGAACGGAATACATATACCATAATCAATTGACGAATAAGGCTGGGTATAGCGCACTATCATAAGTGAGGTGATAGAAAATTTCAGTTAAAAGTTCGGGCAAGATAAGTGGGTGTAGTTTATTAGATGACATCAGTACTTATTTGTCGATTTATTGCTTTGCAGATATGAAGTATCTATATAAAAGGAAAATTATATCAAATATACTGGTAAAGTTAGCTCATCTAAGAATCGGAAGTGGGTAAATATCCCCTCTCAATCAAAGTGGTGCAAATGTAGGGTTCGATATCTGAATCGTATGGTACCAAAATGAGATCTATACCCTCTCTTTTACATATATCCCGCTTTTTTTGATCGCGCATCTGTTGACTGTCTAAGTCTATCTTACCTCGCTTATGGAACATTGGATTCTCAGAAAAATGTTGAATTATAATTTAAATATTTCATACAATTATTAAAAAATGGTAAAACTAACTTTAGATGATGCCTGTGCAATTGCTAAAAGCCGAGGTGGACAATGCCTCTCCATTCAATATATTAATACTGGAAGCCCATTGAAGTGGAAGTGTAGCAATAATCATGAATGGATTGCAAACTTGTGCGATGTAAAATATAAAAATACATGGTGTCGAAAATGTATGTCTGATAATCGAAAACTTGGTCTAAATGTAGCTCAAGATATAGCACGGTCTAAGGGTGGTGAATGTTTATCAGATATATATATCAATAGTCATAATAATTTACTATGGAAATGTGGACAAGGACATACCTGGTATGCTTCTCTCCATAATGTAAAGAAAGCACGTGGAACTTGGTGTGCTAAATGTAATGGTTGTACAAAATTGGATATTTCTATTGCTATTGATCTTGCACAACAGCGAAAGGGTAAATGTCTTTCTAAAAAATATATTAATAACCATATGCCTCTTTTATGGGAGTGTTCCAAAGGTCATCAATGGTCTACTTCTCTTTCCAGTGTGAAAAGACTTGGATCTTGGTGTCCATATTGCTCAGGTCGACATTCCTGCAGTTTGGATCTTGCTAAAAAAATTGCTAATGAACGAAATGGTAAGTGCCTTTCAGAGCAATATATTAATATTAACAAATATCTTTTATGGGAATGTAATCAAAAACATACATGGTATGCAAGCCTTCACGATGTAAAAAATGGTAACCACTGGTGTGCAAAATGTGCAAAAAATAAGCCCTACAATCTTGAGTTTGTTAAAAATATAGCAAATAGTAGAAGTGGTGAATGTTTATCTGAAAATTATGTAAACGCCCATACAAAACTGATGTGGAAATGTGTTAATGGGCATAAATGGACTGCCTCTCTTGCCAGTATAATGCATTGCAATTCCTGGTGCCCATATTGTAAACATAAGCATGAAAATTTATGCCGTGAAATTGTGGCAAAATATCTTGGCCCACCATCAGAAAATCGCTGGCCTGATTTCTTAAAAACACCAGAACATCCAACGGGACTACAACTTGATATTCCTTATTACCACTATGGTTTTGCTATCGAAGTCCAAGGAATACAACACGAACAATATATCCAATTCTTCCACCGAGGGGATCAAAAAAATTTTATTAAACAGCAAGAACATGATCAACTTAAGAGAGAACTCTGTGAAGAAAATTGGATAGTCTTAAGATATGTCTGGTATTATGAAGACCCATTTGAGAAAATTCCAGATATCCTTCGAGAACTGGGTCTTATTTCTTAACTGTAATTATTCAATATCTGTATTTGGTAGATATCCTTTTTCGATCAATATGGTACGAATGTAGGGAAGCAAATCACAGTCAAATGGAATACAAATGAGATTTATACCCTCTCTTTCACATATATTCCGCTTTTTTTGATCGCGCTTCCTTTGATTATCTAGATCATCTTGATTTTTGTGATATAAACTATTGCGATGATAATGTTGGATACCTTGAAATTCAAAAGCTAATTTTAGTTCCTCATTATACCCATATAAGTGTAACCCATCTAAGAACTTAGCCCTGCATGGTGGAAATTTCTTACCTAATAGATCCTCAAAAATATATCTTACATTTCTCTCGGTGGTATGGTGGCATAGGGGGCACCACTCGAATTTACGCTTCTGGGTCTTATAAGGCGCTTCCCATTGATGGAGTCCATTTTCACAGGACCAGAGATATACATCAAAATTATTTATTCGCCCAGTTTTTATAATACAATTCCCACCCCGTTTCTTCGCATATTGTTGTGCTTTAGCCATTTTATTAATAATACGAACAAAATTAACAGACCTGAAACGAGTATTTTCTTTCAATATACTCTGGGGCGGATACTGAAGTTTTTTCTAGATCTACGTGCATGAGTTCCTCTCTCACAAATCCACGCTTTGGGGCATATTCTCCGTCTAAATAATATAAAACTGGTTCGTTTTTCGTTACTACGATTTTGCGGATTTTATGTAAAGAAGGGCTCCAAATTTCATCCGTTGCCCGCCTTTGATTTTCCATACCCCCTTC